CATTGATATTGATAGTAAGTCTTTCAGTCATTTCATTTAATGCATTTTCTTTGTGGTTATGCAGTGGAGTCCATTAACAAATATACTCTCTGGCTAAGCCCACATGCAGCAGAATGATGATGACGTTGCCTTCCTGCCACGAAAATTGCTCGCCTCTTTCCGAATTAATAACTTTGAAAACTTCACCTGACCTGGTCTTTTGGCAAACAAACTTGCGACAGTATAATTTCAAATGCAAATACAAACAGAGGGACAAAGAGAGGGGCTCGTAAAGGATACGGCTGAATACGACAGGATATATATGTATGTACGTACTGCCGACAGTCGAGTCAGCCATTTTGCATGTCTATTTCAATTTTCAAACTGCTGCTGCACAAAAGGCGAGACAAAGAGCCCTGACAAAAACTGTAATTTACGAGACAACTACAATTACAGAAACAAACACGCACCAGACGGGTATCGGAGACGGAGAGGAGGGGAGGGGACTGGAGACTGGAGACTGCGGGGGACGGACGCATTTAATGGGGTCTCAAAGGATGTCGGAGCGGGCGAGAATCATTGGATGGCAAAGGGGCATAAGGATGGGGCTAAAGATGACTTCATTGAGAAATTCATTTAATGCCAGGCACGGTGCCAGGGCTTAGGACGGACACGCACACACAAGAAGCACGTACGCACGCTCGCTACTGCACAACCGGAAAGTCCATTATGAATGTGTATTACGAATAGAATATACCCTATCCAATATATCTTTCGAAGGTGGTGAAAACTATATGGGAAGTGGTTGAAAAATTCAAGGAAATGTTGTCACAAGGAGAGGAAATGATACGGCAACACAATCTGCATTACATTGCAGATTTATTGATTGTATCTGATTGCTATACATTTGTATAAAATATGAGCTGAACATTTTGGGTGCTCTGCACCCTTATGTATTGATTTGCAGACGCTGCAAGACTGCAAGAAGTCTCTAAGCCAAGCTTCTTTTTGGTCCAGATATTTAGTGGAATTACTGAAGTGCAGCTTATGGATAGCATACGATTCCTCCGGGTCCTTCCATTAATAAATAAACCCCACAAATAATGCCCTGTATTCCGAGGTAGCTCCATAGCAGATCGAGTGTGGACTTCCTGACTCAGATCTTTCTCTTTTGGTCGGCCAAATGGAAAGTTTTCTCCTTTCCCCCCTCCCAAAATGTTGTTGCACTTGCAAACGTGTGTTCATGTTGCGTCGTTGTCTGAGCCTTGTGTTTGAATTGTTTATCAAAAAGGCACACAAACTCCTGAGCGTGTTTTTATTATTTTCCATTATTTCCAATGCGATTTAATCCAAGAGTGTGTCTGGTGGAAAGTTTTCTTTTTTTCAGCAAGGGCATAAAATGAAACATGCGTTCGGCAAGGAAGAAGTTTCTAGTTCTGTTGGAAAGTTGTTTCTTTCTGGGAAACTTTTGCGATGTCCTGCAGCGACGACAGGCGTCGCCCAATAGAACTTTCCGAAGAAGAAGAAACGTGGAAATGCAGTCGGAAAATGGGGACAAGGAGTAGCCCCAAGCAATTATACATTTAGTGCCGTAATAAGGTTAAAGCGGATTAAAGTTTAATTTAATTGGATTCACAATATTACAAATACCATTTCCTCAGAGTCCTCACCTCCTTCCTTGCAGAGTACTTTCGCATTCATCTCGTGTTCAACACGTACTCGCCATTCCCTGTTCTTTCCATTCAAATGGAAATTCATGGCCCTCGCATATGATTCACAAGTCATTTGAGCTAATGAGTCCTGGACAAGAGTGACATTCTCTGGTTTGGCCACATGACTGGAATATTCGTATGATTGCCCTTCCCATCTTTCACATCACTCAATTGCTTGAACATGGCTCTGAAATGGGAGGAATTCATCTCGATGAAGACAAAGATAATTTCCTCTTACAGCTCGAGTAGATATCCCCCCAAACAGAAAGCAATTATGAGTTCCACAAGCACTTTCAGCTGGAATTGAAGGCTAAACAGATTTCCAAAATGTAGCCAAAATCCTTCTGTCAATTCCACTTTGGATTTGTGCAAAGTTTTTCTGCTTGGAATTGAAATTCCTGCTGCAATCATTAGAATTTCTCATGATTTCTCCAATGGAATTCGCTTCGAGGCATTTTTGCATCTGCCAGACCAACTTTCAATTAAATTCGTTTCCACTGTAGCCCAAACTTCGGTCGTAATTTCCTATGTACTAGTACTGGCACCCACACAAACACACACCTTCGTGTAGTAAGCTGTCCAAGATTAATGACTCTTCCACACAGCTGCTGAAGGGAGATTGCCCCCGCCCCCGCCTGCTCCGACGACTCTGCCACTCCTTGTGTATTTCAATAATTAATGCATAAATAATGATTTACACAAACTTTGGTCAACCGCTGAGTGGACCATGACCAAAAAAAAAACAACAAAATAAAAAGAACATGGAAAAAGAACCATATATAACCAGTAGGAACAGCAGGGAGAGGGACTAGTAGATGGACTTTCAACAGAAACAAGAACTAACCTGATTTTTGTTTTGTGTTGCAATGTTGCTGCTTCCGTTTCCGCTTTTCCACTCTCACTCTCTCTCTCTCTCTCTCTCTTCTCGCCCACAACAACAATACTGCGGAACAGTTAATCCATCATCATTATGATTTTTGTATTTCGTTTTCCTTCTCTTAACTTTTTTCAGTTTCAGAAGTATGTTGCTGTTGGCTTTGTTTCAGTGATGCTGCTGATGTTGCTTTCCTCTCATGTTGGCCTTTACATAATATCTTTTGAAATTCGTTCTATATTATATATTTTTTTTTTTTACATATGTTTGTGGTGGTGGCACGGCACTTTTGTAAAGGCATTTACAGTCCTCGCATTTTCTATTGTTTTTTTAATCCCCTTCTGCTGTGTTGTGGGTGGGAAAACTCTTGTAATTAGCTGCGGAGACAATGACAGCTAGCAACAATCGTTAGATGGAGCAACTACAACAAGTGGCCACTCCTCCTTTGCTTTTATGGGCTAATGCAAATTTAATTGCGGTTTATTTTGCACAGCTGCTGACGCCCCAACAATAATGGAAAGCATAATAGAAGGGGCGAAGCTGTGGATACCCTTACAGAGGAAGTCCCTGTTTTATTTTGAGTTAAGCGAAAAGAAGAAATGTTTCAATTGAATACTGAGAGCTCCTCTCTTAATGCTGTTCAATAATATATATGGCCAAAATCTGATCAAAACGATTATACTCTCTGTCAGAGTACAGGCAATATTCTGCCCTGTACACTTTTGATAGCCAGTGTGCCGTTGCCAATGAAGTTTGTGGCCACATTTTCGAGACCTTATCATGTTTCTTCCTGTGCTGGCTGTTGCCCTAATTTGCCACGCCCCAGCACGCACACAGGCGCCAAACGCCCACATGCTGTGTGTGCGCCGGGCTCTGCTCATTTGCCTTTCGCTGTGTGCTCCCCCCCACACTTTTGCCCACTTTTCCGGCAAACTTTCAGCTCATTTCTAATATGGCTGTGGGTTTTAATGAGCTTCCCTTCTGATTGTGGGGGAAAAAATGGGTAAAATCGTGCACTTTCCCGACTGCAAATGGAAGTGGCTGACCAACTTGCCACCTGGGGCCAGCAAGTTGGTCAAAGTAGCAATGAATGACAGAAGGGAACCACATCAACGAATGACGATAGAAGCTGCAGCTGATTTGAGGAGTACGTCGTATGTTAGTGCTTTTGTAAATTCCTTAACCTGAGGGCATGTGCCAATGCGGTGGGGCTGTAATTTGGGACCGGCTATTGTGTGGATTGGGGGCTGTTTTACTGCCAGCTAATTGATAACGATTTATATCGGTTTTTGAAGCTTTTATTTTTTGAAGAAATAATACCTATGTAACTCCTATAAGTATTCATTGCATGACAATTATTATCAAACAAAAGCAAATACAAGCTACTATTCTGCCCCTAGTTCTTTTAGGAATAGGGCGACACACACAGTTGAAGATAATTGGACGGCTTTGAAAATTCTAGGTATCACAGAAATACCATTATATAGGAGTGGTAGAATTTATGATGTATGAATGAATTCCATGTAAACCCCACTTTCAACGCATCACTTGGCCATTGTTGAACAACCCCTCAGCACACAATAGCAGTCATTGTCGGAGGGCCGGGGCCTGTCTATAGATTCACTCGTTTTTTCCCAAATGCAACAGTGCGTATGCGTTATCCAAACTTTGAAGAACAATTGTTGCCTTGGTAATTGCAGGTTCAGGGTTCAGGGTTCAGGCCAAATGCTGTCGTTGCTTGTTGCTGGATGTCGGATGTCGGATGCCGATGGCAGCTGATGATGGGGCTGGCTGGGTGGTCTGGGTAGCAGCTGTTATCACATCCTAATGGTAATGCGATATTCATTGAAGCTGTATTGGCGGCACGACCACGGCACAGCATCCTTTCGTTTCTCAGAATCCAAACAGAAATCATAGCATACTTATTTGCGCCGAAAGGCGGCATAGCGGATGCTAACGAGGCCTCCGGCTGTACGCTGCTGTTGTTGTTGATGTTACTGCTGCTGCTACTGAGCCGTTGCTGCTCCTGCTGCCGATGATGATGATAGCTTATGTAACTAACGCTGCATAAATCCGTGCAAACGCACACACACACACAGAAAAAGAGGGGATGGCGGAGCAGAGGCCAAAGTACATATTTTTTCTTTCTTTTGCTTAACTATTCAAATGACATTTTAGTTGCTTGCCTTTTTTTAGCCACTCCTGAATGGGTGTGTGTATGTCTGCACCAGTGATAATTCTTTTGGCGCACTCATGCCTCAGGCCTCGTGCCCCATGCCAAATGGTGCTGCGTGCTTTTAACACTAACAAGCAGCAGCAACAACTACAGCAGCAGAAGCAGCACCGATGCCAAAGGAATGGACAGACACACCCGAACAAAGGTAAGTTGGAGAGCAGACTCTTCTTGGACAACACATAGATACACCAACACTTACACAAGCACTTCTATTTCACAGACAAGCACACGTACACGTTCTCTTAGATTTGGCCCGGTTCGAATGGCTCTGGCTATGGCTCTGGCTCTGGCTTTTGGCAGCGATTGCGATTCCGTGGACGTTGCTGTCGACTGATGCTCTTGCTAATGTTCATCTCACGTCGATGGACCATTTTTGACTGGCTTCAAATCGAAGTCTGCCTGCTGCCAGCCTGCTGACTGCCTGTCGTCCTCGCCTCGTTGTTGGCCAACAGCAAACAGAAGGCAGAGAGCGGGTTCAGAGAGCGGAGCGAAGCGACAAGAGCAGAGGAGCAAAAGAGAGCGGCACGAAGCAGAGATCTTATAACAATTGGTGGCTGTTGTTGTCTCTGCTCGATTCCTGGAGAAATCTTTGCAAAAATGAGAGATAGTTCAACAAACGGACAGCGAAAGAGAGACACCAAGAGCGAGAGAGTCGAAGAGAAAGAGAAAGGGTATTGCAAGAACTTTCTCTTGTTGCATTTGCAGGCGGGCAACGCACGTGAGTGGATAGTGCTGCCAGACTATTGATAGATTGGGAAGATGTGGAAATGGAGATGTGGAATTCTAGATGTGCTGAAATTCTAACAAATTAATTTACAGAAATTAATTGGAGAAGAAATAGTTAAGAATATTGTGTATAGCTCGGAATATTTGTAAGCCACAGGGAATATGTGCATTTTTTACGAGAAGTACATACATATCTCTTTCTTAGATTATAATAATTTATTCTTTAAAACACTTTAAAAACTATAATCTTTTTATATAATTTCAGACACGATGGCAGCCTATAAAAATCTCTTATATAGAATCTCTTCTACTGTCGTACTGTCTCCCTTGAGGTCCACTCTCTGCACATGCGCTTCGTCCATCAAAACAATTTCGAGTTTTGCAGCAAAGGGACAAAAAAATAAATGTCTAACAACAAATATATATAGATGTGCATATATATAGACCACCACAAGACCAAAACTCGCTTAGTTGCCGCGTTGACAACTTTGTGGCAGGCAACAAACAAACACAGACACACGGACAATATGCCGACAATATGGGGTGGTGTGGTGTGGATGGTCTTCGAGGATGGCCTGAGAGATGGTCAGTGCAATGTGAGAAGGATAAAAGACAAGAGAACTGAAGATGCATTGGCTTTCTGGGCTAGAAGTTGCCCAAGCAGTGACCTGAGCAATGACCCGCTTAGACATTGGAGAGATTTATCTTTAGCAAGTAACACTCGTATCGTAGTAATACCTATGGGCGAGCAAATAAATCTAATGCTAAACTTTTGACACCGTCACGGCAGGCGAGCCACAGTGGTATTTCCTGTTCTTCGCCCACAGCGATTCCTGCTTGAATCTGTCTGCCTGGCAGCGACCAACAAAAGGAGTGACACTCGCCGAGGCACACACATTTATCTATTATATATTGTACATTATATATTTCTCTGCTAAAATTTATGACCTCCCATCACCTTTCTATGGCACCCAAAAAATCTTTCACATCTAAGAGATAAATAATAATAATAAATTTTTTGCGCTTTTTATATGCCACTCCGTTTGTTCGTTTGGCATTTCTCACATTTCTTTGCCATTCTTATGACAATGTCAACATTTCTTTTTGCTCTTCCTAATGGCAGGACAAACACACACACACACGCACACAGCTTCTCACACAGATACGCACGCACACTTGCACTTATGTATTTTCAATCGGTTCGCTGTTTTTCCTTCCTTCTTTGGCTATGCGTGGCCATAAATTTTGGTTGAAGATTCGCTTCGGTTATGAGGAAAGCACGCGACTATGGGTAGTCCAAAAATAAAGCGGATAATTTCTGATGTTGACACACGCACTGGCAGAAAGAGGGAAAGGACACACACAGTCGCACAATTGTTATTTTGGCCATTTTTTGTTTGTTTGTCATTTAACAGATTTTTGCTCCCCTTGCTCTGGCTATTGATTTCTAATTTTTCCTTCGTCGGCTTAATGCCACATATTTGCCCATTCTTTGGAGGACATTCCCAACACACATACATGTACAGTATACGCATGTATATATATATGTATGAACGAGTGTATGTCCTTGTGTCGCATTGATTTCGTAATTTATGAGCAATTTGATGGATTGCGCAAATAATTTTTTTATGTTTATTTTTGAGTTTTTATTGTTGTGGCCGCCGCCTGTGTGGTTCGTCTGTTTGCCGGGGCTTGTGGCATGTCATATGCTGCTGTTTGTGGCTTTTCGTGGGGGGGGATGGAGGGCTACCGGCGGCACACATGGGTGCCAGCCAGCCTTTCGTTTTGGGCTTAAATGTGGTTCATATTTATTGTTGCATGAGTAAGTAAGTGACAACAAAAAGCGTTGCCTACTTTTGGGTGGCGCTTTTAAGGATTAAAGCTTGGAACGGGTGACGGTTTTTTTTGATGAATTGTGTTCCTGATGGGTACATCATTTGAATGAAATTTATTGGAATCTTTAAAAGAGGAAGGGAGATAAATGGGAGGAGTCCTATTATCAATTTCATAAAATTATGCAATTCCCAAACAGCTGCAAATATGAAATGCCATAATTACCAAAAGTGTATTTAATCAATGCAAAAGAGCGAGAGAAACGATCAAAAACATAAAACCCCATTAGATTAGTCAAATTAATTGTAATTGTAAATGAATGTAAGGCCGCTGGGCATTTATGTTTGTTAAATAATTAATGTTGATACATTGCCCAGACCAGACTACCGCGGTTAGCTAATTGAGGCAAACGCATCTGCGTAATTAAATTTTCAGTCGAAAGGCCGTAAAAATAAATCAACAGCAAAAAAGAGGAAATCCGGGAACAAAAAATGCGAAATTTTCATGCGGGAACTTCGTTAACATGGATGAAATCGGCTCACTTGCAGGGCCAATTAAATGTTGAATCAATATTGTTAAATCTCCCACAAAAACACACACACATGCACGTGCGTGTGTAAACGGGTACATAGGGGTATTCGCAATTGGTGTGCGTAAATACCCAGCATTTGAATAATCCATGTGTCCCGCCCTCGGATATGCGTGTGTGAGAGCTTATATGTACATTCGAGTCTACCCGTACATTCACTGTATTGAAAGCCATCTGAATGGGAGGGTAAACTAACTGGCAAAGCACCCGGATACCCCAAATCCTGTCCAGTTACAACAACAATCGAAATTCGTATTGGTAAGTGCTTTGTCAGCGTTTAAACACGTCGCCGAAAACATTTTAATGTTGGTTAAAACTCATTTCGGATGTGCGTCCACCACACATGAATGGCAGTCGGCCAATACTTGTAGTTGTTTTGTTCCTTTCGTTCTCTAATTTGTGTTACTTTGTACATGTACAAATTCCATTTAGGCCAGGAATAAATGAATACAGGGTGCTTCAGGTGTATTTAGTCCTTCAGTCCTGCAAACGGTTTTCCCAGCAATAGCAATCAAAAAGCTTTTAAATAATAATTTTAAAATACTAGTTCAAGCACCATTAACATCAGTTAAAATAAAATGTACTCTACAAATATTTCAGCATTTCCAATTGCAAAACTCAAATAGTTCATCTATCAAAGCCTCTCAGGAGATTTGATTTGAGTTCGATGCCTGGCTGAACCCATTGAGGCTAAGTACACTCGAACTGGCAACAAAGCCGTGAACTATCCATCAGGTCGAGCCACGAGCCCACACATTTCCATGCAAATATATAAATGCTACTTTTTTCTTTATTATTTTAGGTCAGCAATTTGGAGAGGGGCATCTGTGGCAAACTGGATGGGTGCCTGCCAAGGAGAGCACAACACCCTCCTTCTGGTGGGCACTTACGACCAACAAATACACACAGGCATAATAAAATAATCGATGCTTTTAAAATTTGCATAAGTTTGGATACCACAGATGCTACACCAGAGCCTCGCATTTCCATATATCCCATTTTCCATTTCCACATTGCGCACATGCCGCGTTGCCGTGAACTCAGCTGGAGCCAGAGACAGACCCAGAACCAAACCCAGACCCAGACCCCTCTGAACCGCACAACGATGGACCTGGAGACGGCGGTGACAGGTTCGTGGGCGTTCGATTTAATTGTGGGAACGCACACACCACGTAGCCGGACTTGGTCGATATACAACTCGGCCTAGGAGTGCTTAAAAATTCAGCTTTTTAGCCAAGGAAACTATATATTTTTTCATTACCAGTGTGTGAGGGACGTGGCCTTAACCCAACCGTGGGAACTCCTTCCTCAAAGTACACGTCTTTATGTACAGCACAGCCCCAATGACCGCAACCCTCAGCGAAAGAGGAGCAAAACTTGTTAACTTTTCAGATTTCACATTTCATTAACGTCGACAGCGCCTTGCTGGCAGGTTAACTTGGTTCTCGTTGCGGTTTCTCTGAAATAACATCAGAAATTAATTTGTATAACTTTTTGAAAGTACCAACCAGTGCGTGAAATGTTGGCCTAAAAGGGCAGCAAATTGTTAAAAAAACTAATTAAGGAAACTTAAATACAATTAAATTTGAATTTTTTAAAAACAAGCGGCAAGGTACAGTGTTCGTATTTCAAAATTTAAGTTTAAACTGTTTGGATTATTTGTTTCATTTATTTCAATTACATGAATATATTTTTAATTTCAAAATTGATTTTAATAAATTATCTAACAATAAGATATGATTTTTTAATTTTTAGAATTCAAAGAAATCACAATTAGATTTTTTTAATGAACAAAGAATTTAAGTTTCTCGACCCTAAATGTTTTCTGAATTAATAATTGTATATTTGGAAATTTCTTCATCATAAAGAAATTATTATTTTGTTGGATAAATTAATTATTTTATGTGAGAATATTACTTTCTTTTAAAAACTATTCCTAAGCTGTACATTTAATTAAAGTTGAATTCACTGGAAATCTGTTCTTGAGGAGGAGAAGAAGAACGAAGAAATAAGCCACTAATTTGTTGGCTGCATTTTCCATTGAAATTATTCATGAGCTTAACTGATTAAATGTCTCCATGAATCTGGTTAAGAACACACAAAGCTGGCTATCCATTGCGGAGCTAAATTATAGCTCAGAATCAGACGGTCTTTTGGCATGAATAAAACATGCGAAATCGAATAAATTGGGGACTGATTT